AAAGACAGAAATGAACAACAGAAATAACTGAAGTAACAATGGCTAAAAATTTTCCAAAATTAATGACAGACACCAATCCATAGATCCAGGAAGCTTAGATAACACTAATCAAGATAAATAAACAACAAAATGATCAACACCTTCAAAAGAAGGGATATTCCCAGGAATAAAGGGGTTAGTTCCTAATTATGTAAGTATGTATATGTGGTATATTGCACAAACGTATAATGAAAACTAATCTGTAGTTCAGGAACTGTCTTAGGCTCTAAAAAAAAAAAAAAAATGTTATTAAGATATGGCACTGAAGCCGATCTTCCTTTTTTTCTCTCTCCTATCCACCTATTCGCCTATTGATTTCCCCTCTTCCTCTTCTCTATTTTCCCCCCCATCTATTAAGATATATAAACTCTAGCTTAATATATGTATAGTTTATAGCATGAATAGTAGTTAACAATGGGTTTGCAAATGTAATAAGAAAAAATAACTGATTTCTTTTACTTTTTCTGATTAGCTTTTCTCAGTTTTGACTTTCTGAAATATCTTATAAAGAAGTTAAGTACCTTGCAAAGTGTACAAGACGATTCAGGTGGATTGGTACAAAGAAGTTGCCATATTTGGAAAAAAATAACTAAAACTAAATTCTGCACAGCAATATTTTTATGAAGAGATATCAGAGAATATGATTTATAATAAACATTCTGTGAAGTTTATAAAAACACTTAGCAATAAACCTACAAATATAGATTTATAATTTAAAAAACAAGGAGCTTAATTTTGCTATTTTCAGATTGTTAATTATGCTTATACATAATTTTCTAGCAACTGTGTTGTTTTTTATGTTTGTTAATTTTATAAATTTAGAAGACTCGATATAGCATTTGGTAAATGTCAAAATTCATACTGAACTAAAAAGGATTTTTAGTATGTTTGCAATGTTTTAAATACAATGCAATTTGTTTTCTTAAAATTATTGGCAAGCATGCATAAAACTGTTTGGTAGTGGCTCACATTTGTATGTTTTCCAAAGTGTACAAAGCATTTTCACATACATTTTCTTCGTTTGAAGAAATAAAAAATGCACTCCAACTATAAAAAATTTAAGTTTCTTATGCAGAATATTTTAACACTAGCACTTTGGCTTAGTGGATACTTTTTTTAAAAAAATTATTTTTATTAGCATGTTCATTGTTAGAAATCATACTTACTCTTTATGCCCCTTATCTAATCTCCCTCCTCCCCTCCACCCCCTTTTCATACCCTCTCTTCTCCCCCTGCTCCCTCCCACCTCTAATAACCATAGAGTTTTTCTCTCCATCTGATAGATGAACTGTTCCTGTGTTGGTTTGTTGCCTAGATGATCTGTCCAGTACTGAGACAGGTGTGATCAAGTCCTCCCCTACTATCATAAATCAGATGCTTCTTCTATTACTCTAGAGTGTGCTTTGTGGAGAAAGAGGACTTCTTTTTTTTTTTTTTGTCTCTGCTGGTGCATCTCCTTGTGTTAATGCAGTCGAGAGTCTGGCGTACCATCTCATGGTGTCTGTGACCGCGGCTACAGAGACTAGCCGCTTTTGCGGCAGCCATGGCCATTGAGGTGGCTATGGTGGGCTACCTGTGTGTTTTTGGTGTGCTCTTTACCTGGTTGTGGCTGGGTTCAGCTTCCCCTGGCTCCATACCTCGGGACCTTGGTGGGGCCCAGGGCAGTGGCGGCAGCCTGCCTAGGTGAATCTGGGTTTGGCTTCCCCGGCTCCATGTCTTATTCTAAGATGTTGTTGCAAAGTTAGTGGATACTTTGGACTTTCCATTTTAACCCCAAGGTATTTTGATTTTATCTCAATGACTTAATTTAATAAACATAATCTCAACATTGATGAATTTTGTCAGATAAAAGTTCATACAGTGTACTCCGTTAAATCAATTTCCTTGACAATTTTCTATGAAGTGCAGTTCAGTAACTTTTATTTTCCCATTCTTGTTTAATATTATTTCATGTGCAACAGCTCTTTTCTGTATTAATTTAGCAAACATGATTTATCAATCAAGTTTTTTTGTACATACACATTAGATTTTCCATTTTGAGTTTTTTTAAAATTATTATTTTTCCAATTCAAATTTTCCTAAATCAAATATTGTTTGTTTGGATTTTATCAAGAAGTTTAGGTACTTTCATATGTTTTAATTTTCACCTGGCACAATTTAATTTTTTGCCAATTAATAGTATTAATTGTTTTCATCCACCAGGGGGTTAGTAAAAAATGAGAGATTGTTTTATTTATTTCTAAATAACTTCATATGGCCCATATATTCCAAGGCTCCTCTTTATTGATTAGATTGTTAACCCACTTCTTCCACATAGTTCCAATGAATTCTTTTAGCATGTACACTTGACAGGATCCAAACAGTGAAGCCAAATGGTAAACTCTAAGTGGGAGGGTCAAAATTTCCTGACTCTGCCTTTTTTTTGTTTTTTTTCCATTGTCAATTTCACAGCAATCTGGGCTGCCAAAGGGATGTAGAGCTTTAGCAATATTTTGAGTGGAATAAATATGCACTCACCCCAAATACAGCCTAAGTTATTACTTATCATGTTTAATTGTGTGTGTGTGTGTGTGTGTGTGTGTGTGTGTGTGTGTGTGTGTGTGTGTGGAGAGAGGGTAATATGACAATGGTTTACACTTGGTCAATTCAGGTAAAGTATATGTGATTGTCCATTTATTACACTTTTAACTTTTCTATAGGTTTGAATAATATAGAAATAAAGAAAATTAAGAAAATTGATATGTGAGCAATTCAAAGACTATATTGATCAAGTTCTCTCCCCTTCTGCTCCTTTTGTTTACTCCAGAACTGACCCTGATTGCTGCTTTCTCTCTTACACTGTCATCAATAGGCAGAGGGAAGAGGAGGGGGCGGGGAGAGATGAGAATTTATAGACTCTCTGAGATAACTTTTCTACTTTGAACATTCCCACAAACTCAAAACATTGGTTATACAAAAGTAGAATGGAACTTGCACTTTAAATTCAGAATAACTCAATACACATTTACCGCCTAAATGCCAAGCCCAGAGCTAAATGTTTTGACATGTATCATCTATTATAATCTTCACAACAAACTTACAAGGTAGGTATCATTATAATTCCTTTTGGATGAGAATATGGAAGTTCATAGAGGTTATAAGCATGTTTTCTAACAATCATAAAACTCTTGATAAGATTGGAAATAAATCTGCTTCCAATGATTTCAGAAATAGTTACCTTACCATTTACTACAAAGTTGCTAAATTCAGAATTTAAAATCAGATGGGCCTAGGTCTGAATCGCCTTCTCCTCTTACTAGAAGCATGAAATTGAATATGTTACTTATCCAATCTGAGCCTCAGTTTCTCACATATAGTGAAAATATGATGTGCCTTGCAAGACTGAGGATTATACATATATTATAAAATATCTTAAATGCTTAGTTATAGAGGCTTAGCAAATTAAATTATTTACATTAGCTTCCTGAAAACTAGCCTCAATAATTTGCAAAGTTTTTATTATCTAAGAGCATTTTTTATTTCAGAAATTCATATTTCCTCGTGCTAAATATGATGAAATAAGCTATTAATATTCTTTTCAGATGCTATCTTTCATTGGTTTTCTTTTTAGAAAATCATCTAATTCCCAAAATATGTTGCTGACAAACACTTTATGTTGTATTGCAAACCTTAATTTCTGAGAAAGCTTGAAAATGGTGAAAGTTCATCATACTTTCAAAGGCAGGCAAACAAATAAAAACTGATTTAAAGCCTCCATTTGTCATTTTCTTAAGAGTCATTTAATCAATCAATAACTATTTATATAATACAAATACCATGAGACCAGTACTGTATAGTGTGTAAAATAAAAAATATGGTATCTTAAATCCACGAGAAATAATGGTTTCTCAGAAATTTTCTCGGATTTCTGAGAAATTTAATTCAAAGATACAAAAAATTTTACCTGCAGAAAGGAAACCAAAAGATTTAGTAACCAGAATCATTTGGATTGCTGAGTATATTTAACTAATAAAAAGATTGAGACTTTTAAGGATATTTTCCAGAATTTGAAGACTAAGTCACTATAAGTGTATTGACGGCATTAGGAATAGAATGAATTTGGAGTTAAGACTTCAGAGCTCATAGTCAGAGTCAAGTCTTTTACTACTCAAAGAATGCTCTGTAGACAAGAAGCATGACTATTACCTGGGAGCTTGTTAGCAATGGACCACACCCCAGACCTAAAGAAGAAATACCTGAATTTAACCATGTCCCTAGGGAAGTCATATGCACACTGAAGTTTGGAAAGGGCAAATCTAGTTTGTCTCTTTTTTCTGGTGTTTACTGGTATTTAGAGGCATAAAAGTGAAATTTTAATATCATGAAAAGGCAAAGAAATGTTCTGGATACTCCATGCAAAAATGCAGGTATTTTGCTGGCTTACAAGTATTCCAAGACTGTCCCTGATAAACTCTTACCTCAGTAAAACAATATTCCTCCATAATCAGCGCAGGTTAGACTTAATTCTAGTTATCAAGTACCAACTATTGACTTTAGTCTTATTTTGGAAACAGGCAGTGTGGGTTTTTCATTTGTGAGAATTGCTGATTAATTAAGGTCAGAGACACTCCAGGCTATGTGTTTCTTGATGTAGGACAGAAGCGAGTGAAGGATATGTCAAAGGTTGACTTGTCACCAGGTCATACAAGTGCACTCATTCCCTCCCAAGGTGCTGCCTAAATGGGTCTCATTGTGCTCAAACTAGAGGAAATACCAGTAGGTTTAGGGCAGTGTTGCAGCCCCAATCATTTTCAGAGCATTAGACGTGTTTGAATTCCAATCAGAAAGTTCCCTATTGCCTAGCATTTGAAATCTATTTGATAATTTACCTTAGAGCAATGTTTGAATAACAAAAGGGTTAAAAAAAAAATTAAAGCAACCAGGAAAAAAAAGAAAAACAAAACAAAACAAAAAAACCTTACTTTCCAAGGGCAAAGCATTCCAGTTTTACAGATGAATCCTTTGCAGCTTGTATAGTTTCAGGAAAACGCACTTCAATCTTTGGTTCATATTCCCCCATCACACCTGTTAAATATCAAAAGAGCTAGCAGCATTTCTGGAGAATAGAAGTTTTCTATGAAATAAATGTTTCATTAACCAAAACCTGATTATTTGGTCTTAATAAGAATTAGTGTTTCCAATTAAGAACTGGATACACCTAGATTTTATAATGCTTCTGAGTTTTCAAAAAAGATCCTTCTCCAGTGATATCCAGATCTATCTTCCTCTCATGGAACTCATGAGGCCAGATCTGTTCAGGAATAAGGAAGTTTTCAGTTAAAACTGTAAGAAGTCTTTTGCAGCACCTCTTAATCCAAATTATCGGTATTTGTGCAGCAAAACATATGAAGTAATCACACTAATAAAGATAAAGACATAAATATTTGTATGTCAGTACAATGAGGTCTTGCTGCTAAATGATTGTTGTACACCTATAAAAAATGTCTGTTTTTACAGTTTTAAAATTTGCAATAAGGAATTTTGGTTATAGGCTACTAAAAAAAGAATAAGAGAGTGGTCTGAAGTAATGAAAATACATGGTCTATAAAAGGAGTTGTAACCAACAAAAATACATACCTAGGGTAGCCTTATTAACTTGACTAATTTAATCAGTGACAACTCGAGATTCTTTAAATTTTTAATCATTTTAAATTTATATACATAATGCCAGAGTAATGCATTCTTAGAATAAATGGATAATTGGTGTGCAGAAAATATAAAAATTACAAAATATATATAAGATAAAAATACCTTGTTTTTAAGACCTTGATCATTACAAACATTCAAAGAGGTTATGGTTGAGAAGGTAGAAAGTACTACTTCATTCAACTAAATCAGTAGATTTTATTTTTTCTACTTTCTTGACATCTTATATTACTTTAGGCAGGTTTTTTTCCTAATATTACGTATAATGCTATTGATCTATTTTACCATAAGTGTGTTGAAGGGAAAATAGGAGATAGAAAAAAGAAGGAATTAAGAAAGGGAAAAGCAGAAACTAAGAGAGACAGAAAACAAATGGAAAAAATATGGTAGAATCTCTGCATATTTCCAGTAATGAATAGAGTACTCACTGAAGGGGAAAAATTGGACTTATGAGTAAATCCAATGGCTGCTAAAATCTGAATTAAAACTTTGCAAATATATTTGGGTGGTTAGTGATTATAAAAGCTCTGTTATAAGAACTCCCTCTATGGAGCTGGTTCCATAATTCTGTTAGCCATTATTAGCATCATATTCTTGCTTTTCTTAGACTCTTCAGGGGATAGAATAATTCTCCGAGGTATTTCATTTCAAGTCCAGAATTTGATCATAAAATGCACCAACAGGTTTCTATCTTTGCACATCTCATTGTGAACATTTAATTAAAGAATCAACTAGAGAATTTTTCCACTTCGATGGCTTCCTTAGTCTTCTAGTTCTCTAAATCTTGTAGCAGCTATGACTTGACTAAGCTACAAAGCTCATCAGAGACCCATCTGAATTATGTTCCTTGGAGGAATATAATTAGTATTAATCTTGTGTTTCATTCTTCTTTAAATGCTCATAATGAATGTTGGTTTGCTTTGCTTTCCTTGGATATGAAATTTTCCCCATTTTGTCAGCCACATAAATAAATGGTAAACAGAAAAAGGCAAATATGGAAAGAAGGGGGGGCATTAAAGAGAAGCTGCAACATATGTTCATTAAAAACATATTAATTCGGTTATACAAATTTGGCAGCACCCACACATGCACACATACACACACGCCAGCTCCCCCAAACAAACATTGTTTTCACAAAATAGTCCTTAAGCAAAGAAAAGGTAAGCTATGCCAATACCAGAAAGGAGATGGCACAGTATACCCAGAACCATGGATACTGGATTATGCAGGTAAATTATAAAATTTGCTATTAGATTTTTGATAATTTCTGATTTTCATCACATTTGTGAATTGAATTTAACTTGTAGGTGACGTGGCTCCACTGAACAAAAGGGAAGCAGAAAGCTCTGCAGGTCTCCTCAGGCTTTAAGAGCCACAAAGTATATTGCCAAGACAACTCATTATCTTACCATCGGTGCGCTGCATTAATGGAGTGGGTGGTCCGTGGACACTTCTTTGGGCCTCCTTGTTTGTTATGAAACAAGTGTAGTTGCCCACATCTGATGGTTCCACTTTGGCAATGTACAAGTTGCCCGTCTCTTGAGATATAAACCGCCTGTGGTCCTCTTGGACATATAAAGGGTTATCATTGAACATCCATGCATAAGACAAATCTGAAAAACAGGAAGAAAACTTATTGTTGTTACTGTATTCTGAGAATTTTGTCTACCTGTCCATAATTAGAGTAAAACTGTACTCCTATTTGTCTAGTTTATAGCTGTTGTCCTGGTATAATTGTAATATTCCCTTATATTCAAATATAACCAAGTTTGGGTAGTAAATTATATAGTCGCCCTGTCCATCTTTGGCTTTTTGGGATTAAAGGTGTGACGATAGGATGTAAAGGAAATAAGTGGATGCATTTATTGATAGAAGGTATGAGATATATAAATTATTATATAAATATATAAATTATTATAGGATTGAAATGCATAATAAATTTCTTCAGTAATACTCATTGTGAAGCAATGGTTCTCAATATGTTGTCAGAAGTTGTTAAACATACTTAGGGGTACTTATTAAAAATTTAATGTAAAATTATGTTCAAGGATTCTACTCCAGATCTTGGAGTTCACTTATTCAATCGTGACATAATTTCTGAACACCTATTCTGTCGCAGTTTTAGGACTTAGAGTACAGCAAAGCAAAACCTGTGGCCTATAAAGGTCACACCAGTTACTGCTAACTACCTCTAGTGTGGATAATCTCAGTGGGCTATGACATATGCTTTTACAGACACATTATAGGGAGCCAAGAGAAGGAACCTAAAATTATCTGTGGCCAGAGAAGACTTCTCAGAAGGAGTAACTCCATGTTGAAACTAGCAGGATGAACAGGAGCTATCCAGGTGGGTAGGCAAATGATGCTCAGAGCAAATAGCATGAGCAAGAGGCTCTGCTCAGAGAATTTTAGATTCTCTAAGTTGAAAGAGAACACATTCTTTTACTGAATGGTGAATCAGTCCACCATTGGAAATCTTATCAATAAATATGAATAAATAAATAAATAAATAAATAAATAAATAAATAAATGTACATATAATTAAGCTATAATGAGCATGTTGTACAAGTATAATGCACAGATCTTAAGTGTTCAGTTTAATTAATTGTAAAAATTATATACCGTTTGCAACCACCACCTCAAATTAAAATAGGTAGTATTTCCATCTCTTCAGAAATGATCTCATGCCTCTACTACTGCAACCAGTACCTGATTTCTATCATTAGGTTATTTCTGTACTATTTGGATTTCATAAAAATTGAATCAAAAAGAATGTATTATTTTATATCTTCCTTTCCTTTAACACATTTTTAATATTTACCTATGCTGTTGTGACTATCAATACTTCTTTCCTTTTTTTGCTGAGTAGTATTACATTTCATGAATAAA